CGAAGGCGCCGAGCTTCGAAGGTCTGCACAAGATGACCGATCACGCTCAGGACGAGCAGGGGGGCGCGCAGACCCGCGAGCTCGCGACCCTCATGGCGCGGCAGGCCGGAGAGGGGGGCCCGGGCGCTCAAGCAGAATCGTCTGCCCCGCGAGGATCTCGAGGCCAAGCAGAAGGCCAACCACAAGGACAAGGACGGCAAGAAGGGCAACAGGGGCGACCACGCCTGACGCCATGCCGCGGCCCCCGTGGCCCCAGCAGCTGGCGGTGCGCCGCCTTCAGGGCACTCCATCCTTCCCGCGCTGTTCGACTGGAGGGGGATCGCCGCTGCCGCGGCAGGCGATCTCGAGGCTGGAGCAGGGCACGCCCCTGCAGGAGCGGCATTTCGGCGACTGCGCTCATGCTCGCATTCGAAAGCGAAGTCGACACCCGCCCGGGCCGTCAGTTGTTGGTTGAAAAATGTTGGAAATCTGATCGGACTTGGGCCCCATATTCTGAGAAACATCCAAATTCAAACTAAACTCGGACTTCAAGCTTTAGAAAACTCTGATAACATGTCCGGTAGTTATGCCGTTATTTTAAGAGCTTCCAGATGTCCTTAGAGTTTTCCGGGAGTTTCTCGCGAGGGTCCGCCCGCCCGCTGGCGCGGCCCTTTCCGCCAGAGTTCTGCCCCGCCCACCCGACCCGCCCGCTTCGGCCCGCCCGCCTGGCCCCATCTGTCTTCCCCTAGCGAAGCGAACCTCGGGCGAAGCGAACCCCTCGCGAAGCGAATCTAGGCGAAGCGACCCATACGAAACGAACCGCCGGCGAAGCGAACCCCAGGTGCAGTGAACCCCTGGCGAAGCGAATCAAGCGAAGCAAACGGACTAAACGGATCCCCGGCGAAGGTCACCCGCGCCGTGGCGGGGGAGGGGCAGTATCAGGAGTGATGACAATACGGAAAACAGGGAGAAATCGGTGAGATGTTTGCTCCCTTTCTTCGTCTCTCTCTCTCTCTCTCTCTCCCTCTTTCTCCTTCTCTGTCTCTCTCCTTTTCACCCTCCTCCCTTCCTCGTGCCTCTGCTCCTCTTCCGTACACACTTTCGGCTTCTTTGTGTTCCATCGTCTTTCTCCTCCCCGTCCTCCTCCTCCTCCTCCTCCTCCTCCTCCTCCTCCTCCTCTCCTCCTCCTCCTCCTCCTCCTCCTCCCTCCTCCTGCTCCTCCTCCTCCTCCACCTCCTCCTCCACCTCCTCTCCTCCTCCCTCATCCTCTCCTGCTCCTGCTCCTCCTCCTCCTCCTCCTCCTCCTCCTCCTCCTCCTCCTCCTCCTCCTCCTCCTCCTCCTCCTCCTCCTCCTGCTGATAACCAATAGGGCTGAGGCTCGCAGTTGCACCCCTTGTTGTCGCTGCTCCGGCCTCGGGCTGGCCGTCAACCCAAGAGGAGTTCGGCCTGGTTCTCACCCCGACCGACTGCTGGTCCGCGTCTTGATTTTACCCGCGCGGAGAACCCGATGCTGAACGGGACGCAGATTTCGAAGGAGAAAAAACGGCATGAGCATAAAGGCTCGACGTTCCGAAAGTTAGCAATGGTTTCTGTTGCTCCTCCGCCCATCCCGGCGGGTTGCAAACGGGTGGTTGAGATGAGGCGCCATGAGGCAAACGGCTCTTTGGGAAATGGGCCATGAGGTTTTTGTTCATCAGTTTTCGGCCTCCCAGGCCCGGGGCATTCCACGGAACCTGGCAGCGTCAGAAAACGATTCAGTACGAAAAGGTTGTTCTTGATGCGGCCTTGGGCCATCATTGGTTGCCCATCGCGCCAATCGCCCGCATCATGATCATTGCTATCGGTGCTCAGAGGACCTCCAAATACGTACGTACACGCAAACAGCCAGGCCATGATATACCTCCTTCGTTCACCCATTGCGTCATTTTCGTTGGAGAGGATGCCACCTGCCGCAACGACTGCAACTACCTGCGGGGGAGACGGGGGTTTGTGTTTCATGGTTTTGGCCGCAATGGAAGCGATGCGGGGTGACAGATGCGTACCTGCCTTTGTTTGGGAGATACGCAAACGTCATGGACAACCGTTGACGCCAGTCGTGGGATTGTTGTCGGTGCGCCCTGTCGCCGTGCATAAGCGGGCAACGTACATTGGCAGAGCGGTGGCGCACGACGCAACGTTACCTCTATTCCCCCCAGCATTCCAGACTCCCCAGGCCAACTTACGAGGAAAAGGAAAAGAGGCATGTCAGGATCTTGGGACGGCAGCGATAACATCATCACGGGCACACGGAGACCGTGGGAACGTGTGGCAAGTTATGTTCGTCTTCGAAGGCATGTTGCGATTTCCGGATGCGATTGCTTTTCTTGGGCAAATTCGCGCAGTGGTTTTTGTCGTCGACGTAACGGAGATATCTCGTAGCGTTGCAACGAGATATGTGGTGAATGTTTCTTCCAGGTTCATGGATCGCACTTCTGTTCGTCAGCGGGTGGTTAGACGCAGGGGCACGCAGGAATGTTGCCATGGGGTGGCGGGGCGGTATGATTCACGCGCCGAGCCGTGCGGCCTGGCAGGTGTATTTGGAAGATGTCTTGGAAGGCATGCAGTATTTGTCCAGCGGTGGCGGCGGCGGGGGTGTTCCCACCCAGCCCCCTGCCGCAGGTCCGGGCATGGAAGCGATCGGCCCCCACCAATCGGATCACTCGACATCAGTGTCAGCTCGACCGCTATAGTGACCTGCTTATGGCCAGCGCCTGCTTGGTATTCCCTTGGCCATGTGGTGGGTTCGTCCAGTCCTGGCCGTTTTCCCTGGCCATGTGGATGCGGAGGATGTCCTGCACGCAGACGAAACGATGTTCGTGGCCACTGGCCCTAGCACACTTCAAGCGCATCGAAATCGGGTGGTAGACATTGGGAAGCAGCATGGTTTGAAATTCAAGTCAGACGAGACATTGTTATATGCGATATTGTGGACATGTTGTTGGGCCGGATGGAAAAGCAATCTCGGTCAAGGAGCATGTTGTCTATCTGGGTGGTTTGGTAAGTACAGACGGCAGACCACTAACAGAGCTTACACGGCGGTTGGGAGAAGCAGAAGGCATAGTTCAAACATGGTGTACTGTTTGGAACCACGCCAGCCTGACCAAGAAGCGGGAAACACAAATATTGGATTATTGTGTTTTCTCAAAACCGTTACATGGGCTATAGTCGTGCATGATCCCCAAAGCAGACAGGGGTCGGACATACGATTTCCAAGCTATATGTTTACGACGATTGTTCAACGTTCTCCCTGTTTGGTTGTCTCACGCAAGCAGCGCTGAAGTACGTGAGCATGCGTGCGTCCCGCCTCTGTCATCGACTCCACCGCACAGACTGGCCCGGAACAGCGCAGACAGTTAACCGAGACAAATGGTGTCTAAAGTTGGCAGCGGACATTTTTGTTTACCTCGTAAGTGGAAGTCCTGGCGATCGAGAGGGCGCCCCCGCTTACAATGGACGACGCGCCTACACGCTGAGGCTTTGCCAGCGGCGGGCAACGACCCCAGTACTCTCTACAAGTTCTGCTACAGAACCTTTCAGACTGGCAGGCGACAGTCAGGCAGCGCTGCGCCCTCTAACTGACTTGTGTTGCCCCTATGCTTCCTTCCCCCCTCCTCCCCTTCTCTTCTCTTCCTCTCCTCCTTCCCCCTCCCCCCATCCCCCATGTAGGCTGTCGTTTGCATGCTACCGAACAGCGGATCACCAAGCACAATGACTGCTGGTGGTTACATACCGTTCCCCCCCCGCATGGCGTATTCGTTTTTGATCGTTTGTTCCTGCGCGGGCGATTTCGCAATATTTCCGTGCCGCTGCGCCGTCTAGATGACGTTTCGTGTATGTGTGTGTGTGTTTGTGTGTGTTGTGTGTGTTGTGTGTTGTGTGTGTTGTGTGTGTGTGTTTGTGTGCGTGTTTGTTTGTGTGTTGTGTGTTGTGTGTGGTGTGTGTGTGTGTGTGTTCCCCCCAGATTGGTTTGCTGCGACCGTGTGATTACGTAGGCAGGCGTCGTTTGCATTTTGCACGTATTTCATTTCAAACGGACATTGTCTTCTTGCTTCCACATGGCGAATATGGACGTCCTCACACGGATTCGACACAACGACTGTTCAAAATTTGGGCACACTTACGTGTTTCTTGGGCCCTCAGCCGCCTTGAAGGCTATCTTGGACCGCGTCTGGCCGTATTGGAGACACTTTTCCGGTTTTTTTGGATGGCAGTTGGCCGGCGGGATAGGCCACAGGCCAGTTGCGGAAGTTTCCATAAGGGCCGAACAGCATTGACAAGTCCAGCATGCCAAGCACCCCTTTCCAAACAAAAGGGGCTGCGGATCTGGCTTTCGGACATTGCGCCGGGGTTCGACCAGAGCCGTTTTGGGATGCCTATTAGGGTTTCTCGGTATGCGTCTTGGGGTCATCGTGGTGGCTTCTTGGACGCCCCTTAGGCGCCTCTTACGTAGTCTCTTACACGATTATTGAACCTTCATGGGGCCTCGAGGGGCCTACGCATTGATGCGATGTTCCTTCTCCTCCTCATTCTCCTCCTCCTCCGCCTCCTCCTCTTCCTTTCCTCGGCCGCCTCAAGGAGGAGGAGGAGGAGGAGGAGGAGGAGGAGGAGGGGGAGGAGGGGGAGAAAAAGTAGGATGAGGAGGAGGAGGAGGAGGAGGAAGAGGAACCTGTGCAGGATGAAGGGGAAGAGGGATGGGAGGGGCAGGGGAAGGCCGAGGGGGAGGGGAGATGGGAGGATGTGGGGAATGAGAAGGAGGAGGACATCCTCCTCTCCTCCTCCTCCTCCTCCTCCTCCTCCTCCTCTTCCTCCTCCTCCTCCTCCTCCTCCTCCTCCTCCTCCACTCCCCAACCCTCCTTTTCCTTCTCCTCCGCCTCCCCCTCCTCCTTCTCCTCCCCTTCTTCGTCCTCCTCATCCTCCTTTTCCTCCTCTTCCTCGTCCTTCTCCTACTCCTCCTCCTCTTTCGCTTCGCCCCTCCTACACAGGTTGGCGCCAGAGGCGCGGCCCGCGCGCCGCCGGAACCCGCCGACAAGGGGGCTGGCGATGACGCTTGGGCGGCCTTCATGGCGAAGTGACCTCCGACCTCCCCGCCTCCCCCTGTTGGCGGCGCGAAGAGTTGGGTAGGGGGAGGGGTGAAGGCGTCTTAGAAGGAGGCTGCGTCGTAGAAGGCGCCGGCCTTACATCCATAGATAGATAAGGCCCGCGCATTCTAAGAAACAGCTTCTTTCTAAGGAGCCTTTCCCCCCTCCCCTGGCGAAGTGACCGCCAGCCTCCCCCCTCCCTTGTTTCGAGGCGGGGATGAACCACCGCCCAGAGGATCGATTTTCGCAGACCTCCACAGGCGGTGGATATGGATATGGAGAATTATGGATATGGACATGGATATGGATATGGATCTATTATATATGTGTATATAGTTGTGTGTGTATATATATATATATATATATGTATTCGGCACCCGAAAGCCCAGATATAGCCGTATCCACCGCCCGCTGGGTCCCCAGGACGTCGGTTCCCAAGCGGTGGATGTGGATAAATCCCAGCCTTCCTCCCCCTGTCTCCTGCGCCGTCAGGGCCTGGGCCTCGTCCCGCTTCCCTCCCCTCCCGCCTCCTCTCAGTGTCGTTCAGCTTGCTCCTGCCTCCTTCAGGGGCAACGATAGGGAGGGGGGGGGGGAGGCATAGAGGGGGGTGGGGTGCATTGACCTAAATCGCCCATTGATCGCCGATAGGGGCCCGATAGCCCCACCCCGCCCAGGAACGTGCGGGTTCGCAATCGGGGGCCTGTCGCCGATGAATCGGCGATGTATTGGTGATTCCAGGTCTGTGCTTGCCCCCCCTATGCCAGTACCCCATGGTCGTACTCCCCCTAAAGAAACCTGCGCCGTCACGGCCCGGGCCTCGTCCCCCTTCCCTCTCCTCCCGCCTTCCCTCAGCATCGTTTCACCGACCCTTCACCCCCATCCCCAACCCCATCCAGACCCCCACCATCTCAGCACCCCAGCTGGGGATATACTCCTCGAAACCCGAAGGGAACAACCTATATCCCCATAGAGGGGTGTAAATCGGCCACACCCCGCGTCCCCCGTTAGACCACGCCCCAAAGGTCATTATTGCCCAGGGTCTTTCTTGCGTGTAGCCGAGTCTCCTGCGCCGTCACGGCCCAGGCCTCGTCCCTCTGTCCTGTGCTCCCTCCTCTTCCGCCCTCCCTCCTGGCCGTTTCCCCTGAGGGAGGCGCGTGGCAGTCCGCCTTTTCTGTTGCCCTGCGATCGTCTTTCAAGACCGACTGCAATCCAGCAGACGAGGCGTGATGACTGGAGCAGGCCAGCGGGCAGGAGGAGCCGCTGCCCGCGGATGCCGCCGCTCTCGGCCCCCGCTCTGGGCCCATGGGCCTGTTTCCCGCTGCCCAGCCCGAGCAGCCAGCAGCGGCGGCCGCGGCGTCGGCCGCCGGTGCTCGCGCCGACGACGGCGCCGAGCACAACAGTCGGCCCGTTGCCGACGAGGAGGAAGCGGGACAGCCGCCGCGGCACCGAATTGCGCGCCGCAGTTGGAGCGCTCCACGGCCCCATGGTGGCGACAAGGTCCACGAGGGAAGCGTAGAGGGCGAGGTGGACGTGACGATGTTCATGTCGTACAAAGCGGTCGGCTGGTTGACGGACGAGGCTGAACATGAACCTCGCCGAGTCGCCCCCGTCAGCGACACACAGATCCTAGCCTTGGACAAGCCACGTTTTTGTTCGGCATGTCCACATCCGCGAGCAGGCCAAGCAGCGGCTGGGGCACTGGGGCGACGAGAACACCGACTCGATCCCAGACGCGCAGGCGCTCGTGGGTGGCACGGCCCACAAGAGCGACAGACCCGAACACTGGGGCAGTCCTTTCGAGGTGCCGCCGGAAAACGCACTACCCCACCACATTGACGCAAGAAGTCTTCGCGGGAGTCGGTGCTTCTGGCGCGGCGCGCTTGTCGGCGTTCACCAGTGCCTTCCCCGATGCTGTCTGCTGCCTTCTCCAGCGGACTGGGGGCGTAGACGCGGCAAGAATACAACGACGCAGTGCGCCGCTTCCTTGATGGAAAGAAGCATCCCTGTGGAGCACGTCAAGCACTTCCTGAATATGCACGACGGCGAGGTGCGCTACTGGGGCAAAAGAAAGGATGAGACAAGAGTCCACCATTGGTCTTTTCGAGCAATTCCGAGACTTGCTGTTCTGGAGCTACTAATGTTTTGAGGATACTTGCGAGGTGCGCCGCTGGCTGCACGCCCGCCACGTCCAACCAAAAACACGCAGCCCCCGAGCGACGAGAACACCGACTGGACCTTGCAGCGCGAACGGGACGGACGATCCTCCTGCAGCGCGAATGTTATTGTGCCTCGGGCGACTGACGCATGGCTTCGGGTCAGATCATTACGCTGGCGGGGCTGCTCTACTTTGGCAGCGCCGTGCGTGCGTGCCGCGACCAATACCAGGTGCACCTCCAACAGCAGATCTTCATTGTCAAAAAGTCCCAGTTCCTGTCCACAAGCGACAACTGTTGGCGAAACAGAACCCCCGCTTGACCTGACAACTGGAGATTGGCTTCTGGGGTTTGCATATTGCGCGTTTGCGACAAGTCTCTGGCAGTCTCACGAACCTCTGGCGCTCACACAGCAGAATACCTGTTCGGCGCGTGCCCGCGCGGAGCTTGACCTGTGCGACGGGAGACAGAGCTCGTCAACATTGCCTGTCTCGCCGCCGTCGCTACCATCATTCATGCCTCCGTCGTCGCCATCACCGACCCCACCGCCTGCGCCACATTACCACGGCGTCGCAAAAATGATATGTGACCCCTGCGTGGGCCAGTCAGCTTGGTATCCGTCGCCAACGCGCGCTGCCCCCTAGACGCAGTCGGGCTAGCAGGGCACGAACCGGGTTCTTCGCGAGGGCGATGAACAAGGCTTATGGCCGCTTGCAGACAGTTCTTAGCCGCAGATTTACGCATGGAACTCGGCGCGGATGTCTTAGATCTGTGTTCACGCCCCCCTTGCGGCACATCTGGCGCAGCACTTGGCGCGCTTCACGCGCTCGGGAGGGGGCTTAAGCGCAGATCGAAGAAAACTGCGCGGACCTCCCACGAAATCAGCGCGGACCTCCGAAATTATGTTGCGCCTTTCTTGGTTTCTCTGGTTGGCTTTGGCTTTGGAAGCAGGCGGGGCATTGACCCAAACTAGCCTATTCGTCGCCCTTCGGTGATTGGCCCCTGCCCAGGAGCGTTCGGTTTCGCTCGCGGGGGCCTCTCGCCAATATATCGGCAATGAGTTGGCGATTATGAGCCGTTGTTCCCCCTCAGAACCAGTTTCCTTTTCCGGATCCTATCATTAGTTTCGCCTCTTCCTTCCCCCATCCCCCAAATCTTCCTCCTCTCCATCTTCTTCATCTCTCTTCCCCCTTCCTTCTCCTCCTCCTTTGTTTTCGTTATAGCTAATTCCTCGTTGTCCCACCCCTAAACGTGTCGGTAGGGCGGGCTGGGCGTTTCGTGGATCGCTGTCCCACTGTGCATGAACTTGAAACTTGACAGTTCAAGAGTTTCAGGGCGGGTGGATTTCAAGATGTGGTCCTTCGCTCTGGCGCCGCAAACATTGCTGCTCAAAGCTTGTATCAATGTTCGAAATGTTGCTTTCGCCGTAGCGCCGCACACATTATTCCTATAACCTTGCAGCAGCGTCAGGAATGGAGGGGGTCGTTTCCAAAATTGTGGTGTTGGTTTTGAGCGCGGCACACAGTCTTACCAACAGGTGGAACCAGTGTAAGCACGAGGGACTGCTCCTTTTTTAAAAGAATAAGATTGGCAATCGCCTGGACGCCTCGCGCAGTACTGCGACATGCTGGAAGCATGTGAAGGGACGGGGGGTATCGTTTCAAAAAAGCAGATTTCAGGATTGGAAGGGGCGTAGTTTCCAATCTTGTGTTTTTTTCTTTTCAGCGCCCGCTTCGAGGATGGAAGGCGTGTTTTTTTCGAAACGCGTCTCTCGCCTTAACGTCGCGCACATTCGTTTCAAAGCTTTGCAAATGCCTTCAAAAGTACAGGTCGTCTTCAAAATTGGGTTTTCGGATCAGCGCCGCGCGCATTCGATCATTTGCTTGGCAACTCCCCGAAGCGGGGCCCCCGCCACATGGCAGGCCCAATTGCGCTGGTAGTTCAAAAAGGGTTTTATTGCATTGGAAAGGAAAACTTGTAGGGAAGCATGCGGAAAGGGGATTTGGGATGGGAGGATGTATTACAGCATCGTTGATGGATTTGTATTATCATGGTTCTCTCTCTCCTCCTCGTCCTCCCCCGCCTCTTCCTCCTCCCCCTCCTCTTCCTCTTCCCCTCCTCCTCCTCCCCCTCCTCCTCTTCCTCCTCCTCCTCCTACTCCTACTCCTCCTCCCCCTCCTCCGCCCTCCCCCTCCTCCCTCCCCCTCCTGCCTCTGCCCTCCGCCGCCGCCCGGGGCCGGCTGGGCCGCCAGCAGCCCGGCCACTCGTCCACCATCTGTAACAGTCAGCGCCGCGGCCGCCGCTGCGGAGCGCGGCTATGGAGCGCGGCCGCCGCGCCCGATGCCGTGGGGCGCGGAGCGAGGTCCCAGAGCAGAAAGCTCTCGCCGCCTCGGTCGTCATCCTCGGGCGGGTGTTCAGGGGGGGGGGCCTGAAGAGGGGGTGCAGATAGGAACCCTTTGGGGCACCTTTCTTCACTCCCCCCGTAAGTCCCCCCCCCCCAACACCCGCCCGACATCCATCGACGGGGGGGAGGCAGCACCGACCCGCAGTCGCCCAAAAGAGGGGCGCCGCAAGCCCGGCGCCGGAAGAGGGGGATCTGGCCCAGGGGCGGGAGCGCCGGCCCTTTGTCGCCACCCAGTCGGGATCTTCTCCAGGCGTCCCCCGCATTGTGGCCCAGGGGCGCGCGGTTTCTCGCTGTCTGGAAACTGGTTGCCGATGCATCGGCGATGTACCGTCGATTCTGGGCCGATGCCTTTTCCCAGGAGCCAGAATCCCACCCTCTTTCGGCCGCCCGCCTGCTCTCTTGGAGACCATTTCTTTATTGCTTGGGGCATTACGGGCGTCATGGCCCCCGCCCCCCCCCCCTATGACGTAACGCTCCCCCCCCCAAGTGCGCTCCGGGCACTGCTGCCGTGTGCGTCGAGATCCGCATAAGTGTCCGCATAGGAATTTGTATAGGAGTTTGGTCTGCATTGGGAATCTCATGGGGGTCCGCGTAGGGATGCGCATGCGAAGAAGCATAGGGGTACGCATGCACAGAGGTAAGGATCCGCATAGGGTTTCGCATGACAATGCGCATGGGCATCGGGATCCGCATCGGGATCCGCGTAAGCAT